GCACTTTATGATTGTGGACAGATGGAGTAGACGGCAGAATAATTGTAGACGAACTTCTGCTAGAAGATCTTTTTAATGGTGTGTCAGGTTCTACTACATCCTCAGCATTTGAGTCCCCTTCAATCTTGCAATGTTCAATCATCCGTTATTTTATGTAATATTTTGGCTAACTGTTCAGTTGTAAGGCTCCTCTTCCGGTACTGTATATCAGAATAGTTTTCATGCATCTGAAAAAAACATGCATTAAAATAATTAATGTTAAGATTATTAGATTGCCCTTTAATGATAGATAAGTAGTCTGCCAATCGACTAGCAGATGACGCATACTCAGAATAATTTAATTGTGTTTTCTTAATTATTAAATCCTAAAAAGAAATAAATACTTGACCCGTTATACGATTTATTAGTTTTATAGGAACCTACAGATTATTTGTCATTTATCACAGTTTTTATTTAAAAATATTAATAAATAAGTTTCTCTTCAATAATAATTAATCTGGCATTCGGCTAGCAGATGGCGCACACTCAGTATAATTAAGTTGTTATTTTCTTAATTATTTAATCCTAAAAATAATTAAATATCCCATCCTACAAATAATTTATTAGTTTTATAAAAAGCTACCAATTATCTGTTATCTATCACATTAGTTTTTATTTAAAAAATATAATAAATGAGTTTCTCTTTACTAATAATTAGTCTGGCATTCAGCTAGCAGATGGCGCACACTTAAAATAATTTAGTTGATATTTTCCCAATTATTTAATCCTAAAAAAACTAAATATGTGAACTTATAATTAATTTATTAAATTTATAGGAACCTACAAATTATTTGTCTTCTATTACATTAATTTTTATTTAAAAATAATAATAAATGAGTTTCTCTTCAATAATATTTAATCTGGAATTCTGTTAACAGATGGCGAATACTAAGAATAATTTACTTGTTATTTGCTTAATTATTTAATCCTACAAACAACTAAATAACTGACCCTACAAATTAATTAATTTGTCCACAAAATAAAACTATTACAATCATCTACAAACGACCTACAATCGATTGCATATTCTCATTATTCTTATCCGAGAGTTCAATATGTTTTGTTTCGTAAGACATCTACTGGTATAATAAAACACTAAAAACTAATCGGCGACCATTTCCATGATATAAGGAAACATGGTATGCTCACGCGCATCTATTTTGAACAGCCAATCACGTTTACGACCAAAATCCGCCATTTTGAAGGCGGCAATTCAAATATGTACAAAATTGATACGAAATATCGTAGTTAAATTAAATAAAATAAAATTAATATTATACATTAATCCAATTAATTCATATTTAAAATGATCTGAACAGACTCTTGCTAAAATAATTTTTAAAAAATCGAAACAAAACAAAAACACATTTACATTTAAATTCCAGTACATTGCAAAGTAAGGTTAAAAAATGCAAAAGTAAACAAAGCAGACGTCACGCATGTAGAGGTCCAAGTATTTTTGTGGATCAGGTCAGGTATGCTCACTTACACTTACTATGAGTACAGTACCCGTACCATGGACGTATAAATAAAGATCTTTATTTATACGGCCATGACCCGTACTCGTTTTTTATAATATATTGGTTTTAGGGATCAGTACCACAAGTATAAATAAAATACATGTTCCAAAGTAACTGGTACGGGATCAGGTCACCATCCCTACACACATGTGACATATTGAAAAGATGGTGGATTTTGGTCGGCGCAGAAATGTGCAAAAACGAGTCCACTAGTGAGCATACCTTGTTTCCTTATATCATGACCATTTCTCAGTGTGTAAATTTTCTTACTTATGCGTGACATCTACTGTTAAAACTAAACATGAATCGATATGTATTCTTGGAAGGTTGTTGCCTCAGTACGATAGAAAACTGTAGTTAATAAGCAACTTGTTTATTCTCATAGTTTTTTTCCATAAAACAATTTTATTAATGTTTAAAATTGTTGTTATTGAACACTAGACAAAGACAAAGGTATTTATGAACTCAAATAAGAACCCTGAGATATATCACAAATCTAATTATCTAAGTATTAATTATCAAATTCAATATCTTTTTGTTTGTTTTTATTTTACTGTATTTTCAAGTATATTTGAAAATGTCTAATTTCCATTCCATTCGATCATTCCATTGGCCCTTTCTAGGTATTTTGTGCTCATTATCTTAGTTATATCTTTCCCCAAGATTTTTGAAGTCTTCCTTGTATTCTGTGAATTGGTGGAACCCATTCCATAATATTTGACGAGAGTCTTGTACTTTGCATCCTCTGATTCGTACCACATCAGTTGCTTTCTCTCCACATCTGTCGTTATTGGGGCTTGGACTTCCATTCGTCGTATTATCCCATCGTTGTCAATTCTCTCTGCGGGATATTTTTGACTTCCTAAAAACGTCTATTCCGACTGCCTCCAGGACTCCAGATTTCTTTTCGTATTCTCTGTTATTCACCAAGTGTTTGTCCCATATAACATACTACTTTAATTAAGTTGTATGTGTCATATTTTTTTGTTTTATGTATTATATTTCCTTCACATTCTTATTTATTGACTCCAGAGTGTTCAAACTCCCATCATTCTTCTAGTTCGCGTTAATCTTCTTTTTATTACTTGATCTTCTTTCGCTATCGAATCAAAACGACTCCAAGGTACGTGTATAACCCACAGGGCATATTTATGTCAGTATCTTCTCATGCGATCTTCGTCATATTGGTTCCTATTGGCAGATACTTAGTTTTTGATATATTAATTTCCAAACTCCACCTTTTATATTCCTCTTAAAGTTTCCTTGCCGTATAATCTAGATTATCTTTATAATTCACTATTATGCTAAATTGCAAGGACTCTCTCTCTTCAATCCTGACCCCCCAGGGGGAGTGTAGTGGTCGACGTGATGTCGTGTATGGTCCGTCTCCAGAGATCTCTGTCTCTGGTCATTTCTTTTAATTCATGCATAGGTCTATGGCATATTCCTGTAATTTGATCTATCCATCTTGTTGGGGATCTTCCTTGTGATCTTCGGCCTTCTACCTTTCCTTGTATTATGAGTCTTTCCATGTTTTCTGTGTTTGCTCTCATAACATGCCCAAAATATTTTAATTGTTGGAGATGGACTTTACTAGAGAGTCGTTGGCTAACTTTTAGCTCTCTTAAAATTGAATTATTTGTTCTGCGGTCGGTCCAAGGAATTCGTAACATTCGTCTCCAACAGAACATTTAGTGGCGTCTATCTTTCTTCTCTCCGATTGTCTCAGAGTCCAAGATTCACATTCGTAGGTTAGTATTGGGAATATTAAGCAGTGGATCAACCTCATCTTTATCGCTCTTGAAATTTGACAGTCCTTCTATATTTTGGTTATTTTTGCTGTGGCAACTTTTGCTAGATCACATCTACGTTTAATCTCTTCTTGTAATGACGCTATGTTTGTGATTAATGATCCCAGATATAAGTATAAGCTCACAACCTCGAACCGGTCAATTGTGGTTATGTGTGGATGATTGTTGTGTAGTCTATCCACTATCATGATCTTTGTCTTTGATATGTTTAATTGCAGACCAAATATTTGACTTTCGTTTTCGATCAGTCGTATAAGTTCTATCAGCTCTGCTTGACTATTAGCAAGAAGGGCTGTGTCATCTGCGAAACGTAGGTTGTTTAGTTTATGACCATTTATTGAGATGCCCTTTTTCCATCCTTCAAGTGCTCTTCGCATAATATACTCCCCATATATGTTGAATAATTGTGGAGATAGTATACATCCTAGTCTGACACCCCGTTCTGGATGAAATCGTTCGAAAGTGTGTCAAGTACTTTAACTGATCCAGTAGTGTGTTCATATAGTTCGGTTATAAGCGTAATTAGATATTGTGGTACGCCTACTTCTTTTAGTATTCGCCATAAGTGTCTCCACTTGACCCTTTCGAACGCTTTACGGTAATCTATAAAACAGATGTATAGTGGGATTTTGAATTCCCTAGATTTCTCGATTATCTGTCTTATATTCAGCAGGTGTTCTCGAGTGCCTCTACCTTGGTAAATCCAGTTTGCTCTAGTGGAATTTCTCTTTGAAGGAATGTTTTCAGTCTCTCATTGATTATATGTAGCATTATCTTGCTGGCATGGGATATAAGAGAGATAGTTCTATAATTGTCGCATTTATGGAAGCTGCCTTTTTTATGTATGGTCGCTATTGTAGATTTTGTCCAGTCTTCAGGCCATTGTTTGGAGTGCCATATTTGGTTACAGAGTAGATGAAGTAACTTTACGCCGGTTTCTTCTGTGGCTTTAAGCATTTCTGCTGTTATCATATCTGGACCTGGTGCTTTGTTATATTTGAGCTTGTTGATACGGTCAACTTATGTCCTCTACAAACCAACAGTTATGCTCCCACTGCAACGATATTCCTATTACCATAATTACCAGTTTAAAAAGAACTTCAAGCCGACCTAAGAGCCTAATAGAATTCTTTCAGACTAGACAAATGTTTAACAAAATATTGTAACAAATATTTGCTCCCGTGTCAATGACCAAAGATGTCGAGATACGTTAATTCAAAATAAAAAAAAAACTAAATAATAATGAGGATCACTCAAATATATGATGATTTCCATAAACAATATTCTTTAATCAAACTCTTCAAAAAAAGTAATTTAACAATATATTTATTGTTCTAGATGTAGTTAATCAATGCTAATACGACTACTTAAATTTTTATATTTGAGCTAATATTGATATCGTCGTTTTTTTTTTGTTAGAAATTAGATAAAACCAAATACCTGTTGCCGATTAATCTCGCGTTATTTTTATCATCGGCGCCACTGACGAATCACCTACCTTGCCTTATCTCTTGATGGTGGAATCTACAGGTCTATGGCAACGGCAACTGCATGTTCGTCGGCGATCGTATGACTCAGTTCAACTCACGCTGCTTTGTCAAATACATGCACGTCAAAGGATTCCGGTTATGCCCCGTTCGCGTAATAATACCGCTTGAATTAAAAGCTACAAACACCAATAAATAAAACAGGAATATTTAACGATGACTCCCCAATCTACACCCGTTTTGCACTATACTAAACAACCCCTTCTTTCTCAGAACAATCATGTGACAGTTTTTAACCCTAAGAAAACAAGAAAAGTTAAAAGTGACAGTAAAAAGAAAATTAAGTGTGTGATAGTTGGAGATCAAGCTGTTGGAAAAACCTCTTTGGCTGTGTCTTATAGTAATGATAGCTTTCCAAGTGAATATATACCGACAGCTTACGATAATTATAACGGTAAGTCAAGATTTAACAGTTGAATTGACCTGATCTTTTGTTAGTAAAATGTTCGTAAATTCAAAATAAAGTGTATTTTTTCTCTTAATATTAAAAGTATATATTATTCTTTTGTACAAAAGTCAGCGATTTATTCAGCGAATGTCGTAACACCTGCCCAACTTTGATTGGACACTTTTACTCTCAATGTGTGGTTCTCAAGAAAAGTCTGATCTGATCAGTATGATAGGAACTCCCTATTTGCATTTTTCGTTCCCTTTTAACTAGTTTTGTTAGTTGTTTATTATGTACCTCGTTGCAAATTTTAGGAGATGTTTCGCAAAGTTCGCAAACAAATAATGTTGTTTCCTAACTTACCAATAATAATTGACTGCTCTGTTCCTAAATGTAAACTACAATCTTTTATGGACAAATAACAAATATCCTTGGTTATAAATTTTTCCAGAATTTGTAATCTTTTTTGAAAACAATTTCCGTAATCGAAAATCGAAAAGTCAAACATTACTTATTTAGCTAAAAATGGGATTTTTATTACAACCGATAATTGTTTCGTAATCCCAAATTAACATAATAGCCCAGTCGTCAGAGAGTTGACCAATAAGAATCATACGAACAAGCTGAATTTTGCCGAAAATATTAATTTTTGGATCTCAAAAAAGATGCAATAAAGTTTACCACTTTTACCCCCTAAAACCCCCCTGTTAGTGGGATAAAAATGCAAAAAAATCGATTTATTCTGTACGCAGTAGAAAAAATGGTTCAAATAAAAATATATTCCATATTCTTCAATGTTGTTTTGTTCTCCTATTTCATTTAATATTACTTTTATTTTCTGCTACTCATTCTCCTTTTTAGGATTTTTATACATGTAAGTACAGTCTGTCCCAAACCCTTTTTTCAGTGCGTCACTAATTTTAACGTCATATAGGATTTTAAGAATGTCGAGAATTATTGCATGACATTTTAGTTAAATCTGACAGTTGCAGGATCGTAATCGGCTAAACGTGAAAAGGTTATTTTTTTTAATGCATAGCAGTTTGTCATAATTCTATTCTATTCTGTTCTATTTTATATATTCCATGGAAAGTGCTTAATTAGCGAAGATTTGTTTATGGATTTATTATTATTTATTACAAACACTAGGAATTGGAAGGATTGTTTATTTAAAATAACGCTTCCTCCTAGAATCTTTTAAGAGTTGACTGCAAGGTAAAAAAAATTACTGACAATTGCAAGGCATCAAAGTAAACATTCCTGTGATAAAATAATATCGATTTAAATCAGTCATATTTGGATAAGTAATTTTCTGATAAGTTTGTGTGGCAGCCAATAGTTTAATTTTGTGAAGAGTTGTCATTAAATAGTGGAAATAGTTTAAATAGTGAAGCAGTTGATTTTTGAGTTAATCTACCAGTTCCGATATCCAGATGAAATCGTGTTAATGGAGTTTAGTTAAAAAACAAGATACCGAATGTAAGTTTACCTTCTTTTTTATGAATAACAAAAATGAATATTATATTTCAAATCAATTATATCCTACATTTCAAGAAAATGTCGTGGTTCTAAAAAGAACCGTTTTAATACATATAAATATCCATAAAGGTATTAGTTTAAGATATTTCCCCAATATCATTCCGGAATTCACAATCTGATTCGCGAACGACAGAAACTGATAATAAAGATGTGTCAGCCTCTTTTTCTAATTGAAACTAATTTAATAATTTTAATATTAGTCTTTTTTCATTCTCGGTATATCTCGGAATATTTAAAATATTTTTATGACAATAAATACAAAATTTAATTTTCACTGTAGTTAAAATGTCTGAAAATACTAACGTGGAATGGCAATTATCATTTTATCAGTTGACATTGTGAAAGTACTGTCACTGTCATTATCAAGATCATCTGTGTCAAATTATATTTATATGCATAATTGATTGGATATCTATTTAGCGTATTCTAAACTCCAACCAATTATACGTTCGTAAGTAGAATTCGCTTTAATATGCGAATACCCGTGAACGATACCTAATTTTCTAAGTTCTATGTATAATAATCAGCGACTCACGTTTTTTTCTGTCACTTCTAGCTTAATGCGTTAGAGAGAATTCGAACAACTATGACGCACTGAAAGAAGGGTTTGGGACGAACTGTATTCCATTTTCTTTGTTTGACGCCTTTCTCTCTTCTTACCATTGACATTCTTTTTTTTTTATCTTGATATAACCAAGAAATGGTCCGAATCGCAATTTGCGCCTCTATAAGTTCTAACATCCGTTACAGAGGTTGCTCATCGCTTAGATATTAATATGTGATCAATTTGATTAAATTTATTAGTAGCAGGTATCATTCAGGTTTCTTTATAAATATTTTTATGAGGGAAACACATACTAACAACTCTCAGTTTGTTTACCAGTGCCTAACCAATATCATGTAAACTATGCTTATCAAACGATTCTGCATATATTGGCTCTCTTTCCAGCTTCGCGTTCATATCACCCAGGACTATAACTGCATCTCTCTACTGTGCATTTTCACATTTTACGTGTAGTTGATCATAGAATTGATCAGCTACTAGTTCATCTGCTGCTTTTGTTGAGGCATGGATATTAATATTTGTATTATTATGACGTGAATACTGACATATATAATACTGACGTGAAACCCACTCCAAAGCCTCCTTGTCGTTCTGCTCCACAGTAGTACATACTGTATTCTTTTTTATTTATGCAAACATGCCCTTTAAATCTGATTTCTTGGAGGGCTGCTATGTCTACTTCGTACTTCAATAGTTCCTGTGCCATACTTGGCATTTTGCCTGCCTGCAGCACAGTTTGGACATTCCAGGTTCCCAGTCGCAAATACATCATTAAGTCCTTATTCCGTAGCTTTGGTCGTTGTCCGTTGGTCCGTCCGGTTAGTACATTGTTCGTAGCATTCGTGATAGCTGAGTTTAAGGTGAACAGGTTATCGGCCTATTGCACCCGAGTCCAGTGCCAGGGCTGCTAGCTATAGCTTCTGAACAAACTATGCTTTCTCCCTTCCTTGTCCGCCCTGACCCTACCTTTCATTGGGGTTAGTTACCCAATCTTCAATAGGGTTGCTCAGGTTTACCGGGATTCACCCGTGTGATCAAGATCACACTTCTTGGAGGTGAGGATAGAATTGAGTAGGAGAGGCCATAGGTGTTATCTGGAAGCAACCCTTGTATTGCGCCTCACTACTCGTTTGAACCCCACAAAAAGTTCTAATAAACATTTTAATTTAAAATTACCCCAGCTACATTTTTTATTAGAAACGTTTTTTTCTACGGCGTACAGATTTTTGGTAAATCGATTTTTTCCTGGATGGTTTCCAGTTCCTCGTCAACCGGCGTGTCCCATCCCAGTTGCTTCTCCCATGTTTCTGTAACCACAGCTTTGGTAGTAGGGTGACTGGGTAACTGTAACCTATGGGGTCAAATATTCGTTGTGCTTGGGATAGCATCAATCTTTTGGTTACTGATTTACTTAAAATCTGTTCGATATCTTCGTCGTCTTGGTTTATAGATAAAGTGTCATCCAGCTTGTTCCACTTAATTCCCAGAACCACCGTAAAAATGTTAAAGGAATCATTTTGAACTTGGTGAGTAAACTCCCACCCTCTTAAGTCGAATTTTCCTTTAGCCATTATCATATTTGCCTCTTTGATAAAGGTTTTCAATTCTATTTCACTAGCAACACTAGTAACACAGTTGTCCACGTAAAAACTGTTTGACAGTTTCTTAACAGTGTCTGTAGTAAAAGAAGCTTTCGAGTCATACTCATTCACAAGTTTTGACAGATGATATTCTAATGAAGCTCCCAACAAGAACGGGCTACTATTGATTCCAAACACTACCCGTCGATGACGAAACACTTTAAGGTTGTTCTCCTTATCATAACATAGAAATCTAAGGAAATCTCTGTCTTTCGGATGTACACTGATCTGTAGAAAAGCTTTGCTAATGTCTGAAGTTACTCCAAATTTCTGCTGTCTGAACCTCAACAAAATAGCGGGAATTAGCTCAATTAAATTCACCCCCTTTTCTAGACACTGGTTCAAAGAAGGGCTATCCTTTTCTCTGGCTGATGCATCGAAAACTGGTCGTATTTTCGTAGTAATGCTACTTGGTTTAATCACTGGCCGGTGTGGTAGGTATGGGCTTCCTGGTTCCTTGCTCTCCACTACCTCCTCAATAATATTGTCATTTAACCACTCTTGAAATACTTGGTCCTATGCCTCAAAATAACCATCCTTAGTAATCTTCTTCACCGTGTTATCTAATCTACTTTTTGCCAAGTGATAGTTACTAGGCAGCGCTGGATGTCCCTCCAACCATGGGAGCCTAACTTCATATCGTCCATCGGTGTCAACAGAAATGGTTTCCAGAAAAAGTTTCTTTGCTGCTAATGCGGTTTCATCGCGAGTCTTCCTTTCCATTGGATCAACCTGGAAATCGAAGTCCGAGAGTAAAAGTGGTAAACATTTTTGCATTTTTTTTTTGGGATCCCAAAATTAACATTCTTGGCCAAATTCAGCTTGTTCGTATGATTTTTAGAGGTTCAGTGGCATTTTTGTCTCTGTCGACTGGAGAATAATAATAATATTGGTTTTCACATATATACAATTGAACACAGATCTTCAGAAGCATCCAAATATACATGATTGACACTCGAATGAAGATTAAACATTAAGAAAAATAACAAAAGAATTAAAACTAACTAATAATGCAAATACAACTTCCGTAGAACTTTAAATGTATTCACAAGTTAAAAATTGATGAGTAATTATAATTTGCATATCACTGTTTAGTCGTCTTTTGTTAAGTTTGGTTTTTGCATTTTATTATACGATAAAAGTAATTACATATTGGCGACTACAATTAATGTGTCTTTCGGTATTTATCAGCAACATTCAACAATATTTGAACATAGGAACTATCGCCTTAAACATAAATCTTGACATTCGTTAGGTCAATA